ATGAATTAACATGTGACTCTCAAAGGTAGGGTTGGGCGATGTCTACAGTGAAACATTGCGATGGACGATGACATCGGGAGGGGGGGGGTGAATCCATATTCAGAAAGGCACGGAAAACAAATAACGTGTTCTATGAAGCCATTAATGGGACATGGTTAGCCGCTTGCTAGCGGTAGCCTGTTACATTACAGTGCATAAAATTTCACTTACCACATAAACAGAGAAAGGAGAGATGACTGAGGATGATGGCGAATGATTTGCAGATCTGAGCACCACTGACAAACATCTAATCTTGTAAAATGTGTGGTAAATACTGCTGCTCCGTAGCATACACAGAGCATATGTGATCGCGAATCTCGAAAGTGAAAGTAAAAAGCAAGCACGCATTTAAAAGCCATTTCAATGCCCCGCATTTTAATAACTGCTCCCTGATGCCCACAATTTATATACAGTATAATTACTCAATGATATAACGGCAAGGGAAAGTATTGAAAAAAAATTTTTTTCCTCCCATCTCATATTTATTCCCTTTAGAGGTTCCATAGTACGCGTCATTTCCTTTCCGAACACTGTATTGGGATGCGGCGGATTGTGGGAGATGGGGTGGGGGGAGGAATCACGATGCCAGCTCAACATCATGATGTCTGTCAGCCATCGGCCCAACTCTATCTCAAGGCTTCTTTTACACGTGAAAGCATTTCCACACTAAGGACAGGTGAAAGACTTTTCTGAAGTGTGAATGCGCACATGCACATTAAGTTGTTTTTTTTGTGTGAAACTCTTTCCACACTGAGAGCAGCTGAAAGGCTTTATTCCAGCATGATTTAACATGTGATTCTTAAGGGTTTGTTTACGTGTGAAAGTGTTTCCACACTGAGAGCAGGTGAAAGGCTTTACTGATGTGTGAAGCAGCACATGCCAATTGTGTTGTTTTTCCTGTGTAAAACTCTTTCCACACTGAGAGCAGACGAAAGGCTTTATTCCAGCATGATTAAGCATGTGATTCTTAAGGGTTTCTTTACGTGTAAAAGTGTTTCCACACTGAGAGCAGGTGAAACGCTTTGCTGAGGTGTGAATAAGAACATGCTCATTGAGTAGTTTTTTCTGTGTAAAACTCTTTCCACACTGAGAGCAGCTGAAAGACTTTATTCCAGTATGAATTTTCATGTGATTCCAAAGGCTTCCATTATGGCTGAACATGCTTCCACACTGAGAGCAGATGAAGGACTTTTTTCCCGTATGGTTTAGCATGTGATTCTGAAGGCTTCTTTTGCGTTTGAAAGTATTTCCACACTCAGAGCAAGTGAAAGGCCTTTTTCCAGTATGAACATTTATCATGTGTTCGTCAAGGTTTCTTTTCTGTTTGAAACTCTTTCCACACTGGGAGCAGATGAAAGGTTTCATTTCAGTATGAATTTTCATGTGATTCCAAAGGCTTCCTCTATGGCTGAAAGTGTTTCCACACTCAGAGCAGGTGAAAATCTTTACTCTCTTATGAATTCTCATGTGATTCTTAAGGTATTTTTTACGAGTGAATGCGTTTCCACACTGAGAGCAGCTGAAAGGCCTTTTGACCTCTTTTCTTTGAATGTTGCGTTGCGAGCAACTGTTTTCAGTTTTGGAGCAACTCACAAATTTTTCTCCAGTGACGTCAAGCGCTTTCTGATCCTGATGCTTCTCTTCCACTTCATTCAGATCTTGTCTTTTCTCTTTCACTTTCATCGGGCCTAAAATGAAAACATTAAAGTTATGAAAATCAGTTGGGACATTTGGAAAACAAAGAACTTAGGATCAACACGATTTTTTTCTTTGTTTTTTTTTAAGTTTGCATTTTCAGGCAAAATTTGCCATTGTTCTGTAAATGAATGGCCAAAATGCATTAAAAGCTTTTTTTTTTGTTTGTTTGTTTTATTTGAAAATGGTCTTGTAGGGCTGCCCCCTAATAGTCGACTAATCGTTAGTCGACCAGAAGAGGCTTGGTTGACCAAAATTTTATTAGTCGCAGAAAACAAAAATCCACAGGCGAAGTCATGCAGTCTGTGACTAACAGATCATTAATGGCTAGTCTATGGTAATAAAGTACATCAGGCAGGACATCCAAACGCTCGTGCCTATCATTCATCGACCTCAAATATGGCTTATCTTAAATATGTAATAGGGCTGCACGATAAATCGCATGCGATATTTAATGCGCATCTTGTCAGTAAAGCCGCTTCTGTAATCAGCGGTAAATCTCCATCACGTGCGGGCTTTCACATGGAGCAGCATTTACTACACAGAGCCGTTGTTCACTGACAAGCAGCGGAACACCACGTTCATAATTGCGCGATTTTTTGCGCTGCTTGTCAGTGAACAACGGCTCTGTGTAGTAAATGCTGCTCAGAATCAGAATCAGAATCAGAATGAGCTTTATTGCCAGGTATGTTTACACATACAATGTGTAAGTATTAGAAACTTTACATGGCTGCTCAATCTAATGTTAACCTAGAGAAATGTGCGCTCTTGTGACTGTGCGGAGCGTGGAGCTGAACAGTAGCGCGCTCACTGCAGAACAGATGGAGGCGCATATGCGCTCACTTGCTCTTAAAATAGGCTACTCCGTCATTTTTGGTCATACAGATAAGAGTAATACATCTTTCAAATCTGTAAAGACTCTGTTTATTTGTGTGCACTCACAATAAAAACAAATTGCGCTTTTGTGAAATAATGAAAGCAAACAGGATGTGCTTTCTGCCGTCTCGGTCTGTGAACTTGAGTGCGAAACTCCGTGTATATCTTTACCTTACAGACATAAAAAATATATCTATAGAGAGTGAAATGTCTACTTTCAAATGAACCAATTCAAATGGAAAACAAATATGATTTAAATGGTTTATTAATAAACGTGCGATTAGTCAACTAATGCGACTACTAGTCGACCAGAAAAATCCTTAGTCGAGGACAGCCCTAGTGTTTTGTAAACACCCCCTTCAACTTAACCCCAGTTAAATATCATTAATGAGGCATATATACGACACCGTTTTCAACTAAAAACAGAAAACCTGCGCACTTTGGATGCATTTACACAACATCAGCATTTGTGGAGGCCTTAAAGGGTTAGTTCACCCCAAAATGAAAATTAGCCTGTGTTTTACTCACCCTCAAAGCATCCTAGGTGTATATGACTTTCTTCTAGGGCTGAACAGTTAATTGCATTTGCGATAATATCGCGATATGAAAAAACGCGATTTTTCAATCGCAGAGGCTACGATTACACTCGGTCACGTGACACGCGAGAGTAAATAGGTGTGTTCGACTTGAAAATCAATTGGTGTATGACTATGGCGTTCGGACGGGATCTTTAATATGACGCTGCAACATGCACTCGTCTCACTGAACGGTCTCACTGACGTCTTAATTTTTTTTTTTGCTATTTAATCCATTAATTTTAAGACGTGACGTAGACGTCACGCAGACGTCACGTAAATCACGTGTGGCAGTGAAGTGTCGAGCCAGACGTCACGCGTGATTCACGTGTAGCAGTGAAGTTTTTTTATTTAAATTTCGCTAACACGTATCATAACACGCTGCTCACACGGCTCAGTGCAGTGTGTCAGCCAATGCACAATTTACTTGCCCTTCATTCATTCCTCTCAATCCTCTCAATGTCTGCGTCTGACTTTTTTTTTTTAATTGCAGTTTTTAGTTCGTCTGTCTTTTTCCCG